TAAAAGTCACTAGATGGCAGCATTGCAGCTCATATATGAATCTATTTTAATAATCTGGGGATTGTTTACAGAATGCTGGTGACAGCAATATACATACAGTTGTTTTTATAGATAAATACATAAATATTACCAGACCTATACTGGTATCAGAACAGGAAATTAGGTATTTGGAAAATCAGCAAAAAGTTAATATCGGACATCCCTTGTAATAATAGTCTTTTTCTATTTTTATTTTTTTTAGTTGAGCCAGCTCATCCCTCTACGTAGTCCTTTAAAAGTCTTATGAGTGACATTGCAGCTATTGCAGTGTTCTTTTGTTAACACTAGGTTCATCAAAGCCCACGCCGGAGTGTCAGAAAAAGGAAGAATAGGAGCTTTTCATATCAGCAACCGTGCCTCAGCACTTCGAGCCAGGGCATCTACGCTCAAAGCCTTTTGACCAGAAACTCATTAATCACCCTCCTGCAACATGACATTGAGTAATTACCCTGTGAGAGACACATAAAATGAAATGCACACTCACAATATATCACACGTGTTGTTCACGGCCTGTAAGCGTATGCATAAACGGGCAGGAAAGCGACAGGAATGTGACATTTACAAGAGCTTTTTTTTTTTTTTTTTTCGTTTTACAAATGTGAGTTTTAATTTGTGGTCTAGGAACACGAGGAGCTGTCCGGCAACACCGACAGCTTCGTGTACACACACACGCACAGACACACATACACACACTGTTTCAAGGGTAGCCACTGCCACACAGAGGGCTGTGTTTTTCAAGGTGTTGGGCAGGTCATAGATGCCTCATGCCTGAAGAGGGAGTCCGTCTGTCTGAGCATGATGAAATCCTCAACACGTCCTCATTCATCAAACCTACTAGCCTTATTAATTATTACAAAACCTCAAACTTACAGCAGAGGGCACATGGACACTCCCACTTCAGTAGCGTTAGCGCCACGTTTTCACGTTGAAATTCGACTGCACCGTCTGCAGCACATACGCTGGTCAGCAGAGTATTTGCAGAGGACACCTGGATGTCATACACGGCCAGCAGGGCATTTCAAACTAAAGTGGACAGGGCAGCTATGACCATAAATCACCCAAGAGTGAAAAACTTTCTGGAGTGAAATTTGTGTAAAGAGATGAAAAAGAAGTGACCACCGTTGTAGATCCTATCAGTGTGTCTGGAAATATGAATATATGAAAACATCTGGAAAATGTAAATGCAGAACAAACTGAAACAGAAATCCAGAAGGCAAAAAAAAAAACTAAATTAATGTATTGCACTTTAACTACAAACAGAAACTAAATTAATGTATTGCACTTTAACCGACGTATCTCATCACAAAAGTCTGAGAGTTGAGATTATTTTTGGCCGACATTTGGGAGCATGGGGGACGTTTTCAGTAAAAGGCATTTTAAAATGTCACAGGAAGAAAATCTCGCTCATTGTTGCACCGCCTGCCTCACTTGGTCGAATCAGAACGAGCCATAATTAGTGCTACAACTGTCTACTAGTGCTACTATGGCAAGTCAAAATGTCTGCTGTTGAAAAGAGCAGCATAACTTGAAAACCTCTCTGGTGTTGTATTCACATGGCCATTATGACTGGAGGACAAAAACCAACTGGGAGTCAAAGGATTTGCATTACTTGTTTTTTAAATGTTGAAATACTGAATACAGTCATACAGATAATTTATGATTGGTCATGAATAAAATCAAGATGGAAGAAAGTTTACCTGCTGTACTTGTCTTTCTGTGTCCAGCAATATACATAAAAATGTTTATATATGTACTGTATTTAGGAATGCTAATTATCTTTGATTAAGCATGACCAATTGTAATAACGATTAATCATGATTAACTGCACAGCTTTGATTAAAAAAATGACCTTTTTTCTCAGGATTTTCAAAGATGCATTTTTGTTATTGTTTATTGTTTAATTCCATTTGAACAAACCAGTCAAGACAGAACAGTTGATAAACTCATTGAACTCATTCATTGCCCCAAGTGGAGGATTTGGCAGAGACACGAGAACCAATTTAGCTTTGCTTCAACTTTCCTTTCACAGGCCACTGTCTCAACACAGGTAGCAGTCGGTTTATTTTGCTATGCAAGCCTTTATGAGTATGAGGAACTCCTGCTGTCACTACGCTCCTCCTGACACCCATAAAGCCCTGTGTTGTGGGGCCATTCTCTTTAATTGGTTTGCACTACAGTATACAGTGTGCCCCCACTTCCAAGTAGAAGTTGCACCTTCAGCCGTTTCCCCGCCAGTTTTTGTCATTTAAATATTAATATTTTTTCACTGCTGCAAGCAAACTGAGCCACCACATTAAGGTAGGAAATACGTAACAGGATCACAGACTTCTCATCATTGTCCACTTGCAGCAGACAGCTATCGTTCACAATGCTGAGGACTGCACATGCACTTGTTGTAATTAGTAGGAGATCATCAGGGCACAGAGTTGGGCCTTTAGTTTTTGTTAAGGTCACAATGAGAACTAGATCTGCGTGCAGCCACTGAGATCAGATTCAAAGAGATTAAAGTTCTCCAAATGACAGTCCTGTGATTGCTCACGGACGACTCTGCCTTCATGCAGACAACAGTCCTGATCACTAACACATTTCTCCGTTCACAGTCGCAGGAGTTTTAATGAATATCTTCAAAAAACACTGGGCAATTAGAGGGGACATAAAAAAGTTGAGCGCTCCATTATTTCTCTGCCCTGAGCTGTACAGTGGATCCATTAATGGCAGTGAAATAGAGGGGACATTTAGTCCTCCTCTGCTCCTGTCCAAGGGGAACCACTCAGCTTTGTGCGAAGGCGGTGACAGCAAAGACACCAGGGCAGTTAATTGATCTTCATTATGTTAATTACAAGGGTGATATAGAGCAGCGGATGAAAAATGGGTCATGCTTTGGTACAGTTATCTGCGTGTACCACTTCAAACTGTCTGCTGACCTTGTAGCTCGGGAACTCAGTGACGGAGCTTAAGAAAACCACGTCTGTCTGCGTTTTTCCCTTTAGCGTAGCTGTTTAACTGCACTTCTTAGTTCTCATCCTTCTAAATGCTGACAGCTGTTTGCCTCAGGCTCCGGGTATTTTTACTTTTTGCCTGCTCTTCACAAACGACATGTCTGCCAGCTTACGTTCTTGTATCGAACTCAAATGCCAGTAAATGCAAACCGACCCCAAACAGGAGAGACTATTTATGTGTGACTTCCTCCTGTCCACTTCTGCTCATGGACATCTGCACTGTCAGCTTTAAACAGACTCTGCATTTTAATAAACACCATCAGAGTTGGATGTTTGTGTACAATCTGTCAGAAAGCTGCCAAACAGTGATCCCAGAGAGTCTGACCTCTGACCCCTGGGAGCCAGAGATGGGTATCACAAAGACAGAGTGTCTTCTCTTGTCTATCTGTGTCTCGGTACCCTTTACATCCTGGTCTGGTTCTACATGCAACTCGAGCAGCCCATCACTCAGTAGTATGCATTGGAAGTAGAAAGTACTTCCAATGCTTTAATAAATAATCTCTTCATTTTAACTTTCAGCCTTTTGAACAGAAAGTTTTAAAATATATATATTTTATAAAAGTAGAGTATAGTTCCTTGCATCTCTGCCGATGTGCAACATACAAATGTCTGAGACAGAACTGCCAGTAGGTTTTCTATCAAAACATGTCAAACCAGGATCTTTTTGGTCTGCAGATCCTAATTACAGGACATCATGTGACATCTACTCTTGCTTGTAGCTCCTGCATGGAAACTATAAAAATCACAGCCAGCTGAAGCCACACTACACACCTATCACACCTGCTGTCACTACTGAAGAAGAAAAATAAGAAGAAGAAAAGTGAGACTGAGAAAATGAAAAATAATAGGAAGGAAAAAAATCTGAGTGCTAGGTTTGGCTCTTCGCCCTACTCCCCACCCACTTCAAAGGCTCGAGAAGATGAATGAATGAGTGACAGTTGAAGATAAGGCTTTAAAGAAGTTTTCATAAAAAGGCCTATAAATTATTGGTTTAGCTCTGAGACTAATCTGAAATTATAATAACTCATAAAATACATTTTGACTTCATCAGTGTCAATTCCTTAGACTACTTTTTTAACCATTTACCAACAAATGTGTCAACATCCTCTGTAGGGGTTGCTATAAACACAGTGAACCCCAGGTCCTAATTAGATATTTTTACTTTACCTAGCCAGCAAAGCTAAGCCCATCTTGCTAACGATCCCACCGTTCTTCTACTTCTGTCTCGACATCTGCCAGTCATTGATTCCAAACCACTTTGTCATCATGTTTACACTGTGAAATTATCCAATATGTGTGTGTGTGTGTTAAGTCTCGTCTTAAGGGAGAGCAATAACAATTGAACTTTGAAATTACATTTTGTTTATTACACAGAATTAAAGTTTTGTCTCGATGACGCTCTGGGATAAAGAAGCTAATCTCCAAAACTAATGTTTTGCAGTAAAATATCAGAAATTGTAGACATGAGATCAAATTAAGAAAAACTCTGCAGCTTGTTTGGTCGACTCCATGCCTTTAGGAGCCGTTAAAAAAAATATAAACTGTGTATAAAACATTGTTGCCTCTAAAATCTCAGATGCTCAACAACAGTTTGTTAACATACATGTTATTAAAAGCAATAGAAATATAGGTGTGTTTCCAACAACTGCAACGACTGCAACTTTGAAAAGACCACAGTTGGGAGCTGTTAGTTTGTTGTAGGTTTATCTAATCTAAATAAATTACACTTCCTCTTCTTTGGCCGATACACCATTGATTCCCAAAGTGGGGACTGGTCCATCCTAGGGGGACAAAGACACCAGCAAAGCAATTTATTTGCTTTGCTGGTGTCAAATAAAAAGTGGAATCTGGACTAATGTGTGATTTTATTTTCTTTGTTCACTGACAATAGCAGTTTCTCAATGTTTAATACAAAGTTCAGAGTAGTTCAAAGCAGCAGCTGTGAATGTAGAGAGACAGTACCTTGGTTTTGTCGTACAGGGTGTGGTTGTCCAAAATCATGTGACGTTCCATTCGTGCAAACCTCCTCAGGTCTCGTTCAAACTGCTGTGGATCAGAAATGACAACAGTCTGTTTTCTATCTGTGTTTAAAATAAAAACAATTCATCATCTCCATCATCTTCCTGGAGGACTTGTAACTGTTTGTTACATCATTCATTTAATGGCTTAGAAATCTCTCTTAGTTTATGACAATAGCTAAATGTCCACATATCAGACTAACTCTGTCAACAATTACACTTTCTTTTAAATCCCTGTCATCCTGATTCATTTGTTCAACATTGCTTTTATCCTATCACGTTGCCATACGCCATTAATTACCATTGAGCAGGGTGAATTTAAACTCTGTTTATTTCCTCTCCTCATAAATTCCTTCCACAGCTACATCTCTGTCATTCGGTCTCTATAATCACTCGTACCCTGGAGCCGGTCCAGCCCAGCAGAGCGTAGGCATAACGATCCATGGGAGGTGACACCAGGTCCACGCGCACTGCCCTCCATCCCCTGCCGTCCTTCTTGGTTTCGTTAAAACCTCCCTTCACTTCGCTCTCTCTCAGTTTGAGGACCAGGAAGCACTTGGCATAATTATCCATAGCTTCAAATCTGTAGCAGGGGAGCTTGGACTCGTCCAGTGTGGAGGGATGGTTGTCGCAGAAAAGCAAAATGCCCTGGTGGAGAAAAAACACGTGACAGAGAAGAACATTAAAGCTTATATTTAAATTTGTCTTTGTTTATTTGTTCCAGGGAAGGCCATCACTTCCAGTCCTCTGTGAGCACTAAAGGAAATAATGTAGGCTATATAAATAGTCAAAGATTTGATTGACTTCTTGACTACAATGGATATCTCAACTTAAGAATTGAACAATATTAAAAAATAATTTTGTATATGAGATTTTCTTGTACCATTTGATACGGTGTTTTGCTCACAATATTGTTAGTTTTAAAAATTAAAAATAAATTTTGTTTCTCTCTGAATCTGTCAGCAAATATCACACCAATGGTTTTTTAAATGACATTTTTGTTACAGAGATCCGAAAGAAGTCTTGAGTTGAAGGTGAAATGGCTATAAATACTATGAGCCTAGACCAGTTTCCTCTGAATTCTTGCAGGTTACTGAGAAAAGAACAAAAGTGCGCCAGTGAAAGGGCCAAGGCCACGTGCTGCAGTGTGATTATCTGCGGGGACTTGTCTGTCTAATATCAGCCGAGCTGTGCAGAAAAGAATCCACGATCCAATAGAGAGACGAGGCTTCAGTTGGCCTCAGTACTGTAGATGGCTGGAATGGTTCCACTTCTAAGGTAATGAAAATCCCTGCCAAGTGAGATGTCAGTGTGTTAAAGTAGAGGGGCAGTGACAAGAAGCAGAGCTGTGACGGGAGAACAAGAGGGACGGAAAATAGAGTCTGCCTGATGAGTTTTCCTCCCAGAATCCAGGGGCGTTACGATAATTTACACCAACACAAATGTTGATTAAAAATCCCTGTACCCAATCTGATCCTTATTATACAGCGTTCCCCTCTAGGGCCATAAATACGTGACGGAATCCTCCAGGAGCAATGATTGGGAAAATCAGGATCTGTGCACAACAACTCTGTCCAGCCTATGACTTCAGATAATCACTAAACGTTAAACACAGTGTCAGCGTGGCGTGTTTGGCTGTCGACAAATTGTCCTGTCTGACCGTCTGTTGGAATGCATGTTATCAGTTCAGGACAGCTCTTCCCAGTGGGAAGGAGGTAAGATGGTGGTGATGAAAACCTTAAGAGGCAGAGCGAGAGAGTCAGAGAGAGAGAGGGAGAGAGAAACCAGCATCACTCCCTCATCTATCTCCCTCCTCTAATTATCTCCAGGGTGGACCCGTTTCAAATGCACTTGCAGGCACAAAAAAAAGGCTGATGTCACCCTCTGCTGCACCTGTGGACCAATCCCCTGTCTGCAATTACAGATAACCATTCACCTTTCAATAATAGGAAGGGAGAGGGATTCTTCCAGTTCCCTGTACATTCTGTTACAGTGGAGCTAAAGGCGGTGACAGCTCCGTAATGAGGCCAGAAAGACAGCATGAAAGTGTTTAAGAGCTAACTAATCTGAAATTAAAATCCCCTTGAGCCACACTTCAAACACGTCGTGGATGACGGCCTACAGGCCATCTGCTGCAAATGTGGGTCACCTCATATTTCAAACTATAGCAGTGTGACAGCGCATTTCTTTCGGTCCTGAATCTCATTGACACTTACAGCACAGAGAAAGTGAGCGTTTGACACAGACCTCGCACCAGTACCAGGGCAGTCTGTGTGGGTTGCAAAGACTCAAACCATTTCCCTATTGTCGGACTAATAAGGGACTAAAATTTAATTTTGTTTATTTTAATTTTTTTATTTTCTATTTTTTGTTTGTCAATTGACAGGAAGCCAAGTGGCCGTCATTAGATTGGATTAGATTAGATTAGACTACAAATAATCTACATACAAATGTTAGTTTGTAATACAAACATTAAATTAAAAGTAGAAGCAAATTAGTATTCTACCAATTAGAGAATAATTGCACAGAGCAGGATATATGGCACTTTACACCATTTGACGGACACGCTGTAGCATGACTAAGACAGAATGAGGGAGACTTGAGTGAGGCTTGTTGTATGAGCATCTGCATGTGTGAGAGGGGAGAGAAGAGAGAGAGAGAATAGAGAACGAGAGAGAGGGTTTCACACCAGGCTGGTGTAACTTTAGTGATCGATCACTTTCTTGGAAAAGAAGATAAATTGCAGGAAAATACCTGAAGGTAAATTTCTCACCCTTAGCTGTTGGTCAGCGACTTTCATGTCTAACGTTTTTGTGTAACATCTGCTGGAAAGTAAGTGCTGTACATAAAAACAAATCCTCTGTGTGGCTCCCCTCAGTCCAGGTCTGACTCTCATGAGTCTCTGGGGAATTTGACATTCAAATAATTTCATTACAGTGACAGATGGCCACGACACTGCACCAAACATGTGGACCATTTGTTGGATGAGGCTTGTGAAGACACAACACGGTGCTTCAGTCTGTCTGACAAACATAAATCCACTCTAGAAACACTACGTCAAGAAGTTCCGTGTGGCTGGGGGCTGTTTAGCCCAACAGTGCTCTGTTATCATCTCCCACACAGCAGGTAATGTCAGCCAGCATCTGAGAGGAAGCTGATTCCACCTAAAGTGTTTACAGAGGGAATTACAGAGGAGGACAGCGGGAAGATAATCTTCTCCCGCAGCGTCGCCTCTGAACACTGAAAAGGCGAAACATAATTGCGATCAAAAAATCTTTTTTTTTTTTTTTATCCAGCCTTTTTCTGAGTGTGTGTGTAGGGTGGTCACAGCGGCCAACAGAGCCAGCTGCACACAGAGAGAGAGTCTGAGATGCTCTGATCTCGTATCACATTTATTTCAAAACCCACCTTCAAGTCCCCAGATTAGCATGCGTCAGCCAGGACCATTTGATCTGCACTTTGGCTTTGATTTGCAGTGACGCCGTGATGAAAAGCACTGATTGCTGGATTTGAAGCGCAACAATTTGCAAGTCCTTTCACTGTCAGTCAAATTAGTCCTCGCTGCTTAGACTTTATTTAGAACTCAGTCACTAACGGTGTGTGACAGCAAAATAATACTCATCAGCGGGTACACTGTGAGTCACTTCTTCGACAAGAAAGTATTCACCTAGATTATTACACTGATAACAGTAAAAAAAAAAAGTGACAGTATTTGTGACAGTATAGGTTTGGGAAGTTACTTTGAACAAACAATCTAGAAAAGTTGATGCTCATTAAAAGAAAATTTAAAAAAAGAAAATTATCATTTGGTAAAAAAGATTCTGACTGTCACCTCTGACAACGTTCTGAAAGTAACCTGAAACCTGATTGCAATAATACTGTAGCCTAGCTTTCTTTTGGACTCTCACCAAACAGTTTCAGAACGTTAATCATCGTGACCTTGTATTCATTAGATAAACAGATAACAGCTAACAGCTTACAGTTGCAGCATCACCACTCCCTGCACTGCAGTTTCATCATCTACCTACAGTATGTCTCTGCAGTGAAAACAAAACGACAAACAATTCTGACTCAATTTGATGCGACTGTGGGGAAACATGAAACCTAAAAGTCGTCAGAGGTAAAAGATGCTTCACATACTGTTGGTTATCAAATCAAAAGTGGAGCGATAGTGTTTGAAATGATAACTGTCTCCGTTTTTACCACACGGTCTGATGGTGTATCGTCAGACCGCTGGCAGAGCGCCGACCTCCATCGACTCCTGTGATATTTTCAAAGAAACCATCGACAGATGGCTGCAGAGCCAAACGTGATTTCTGTGTTTTACTGTTACTGCCATCAGGGCCCAGGCAAATTTGATCTGTCTGCCAAAGAAACTGGTGACTGACCTTGCCTCTGCCCCCAAGTTATTCTTTCAGAACATCAGCAGGAGGAGAAGAGCAGGGGGGGGGGGGGGGGGGGGGAACCTGATTTTACAAGGACGTTTTTTAAATGAT